TGGTGGCGCTCCGCACTACGAGCTGCGCCTTCACCAGTACCGGGTTTCCCATACCACTGGGGTCCCCCCTTAAAGTACTGTGCCTTCACTCAGGCACTCAGGCCCCACCCCTCTGGGGTCCCTATGAGGCCTCCTCCAACCCCTACAGCCTCACCCAAACCTCCGGTGTAATATCAAAGCCTGAACACAAACTCGAGCCTCCTGGCTATAACTCAAACATAACGCTCTCTGGCTGTAACAACTTAACTCCAAGCCATCAGGCTAAACCATGGTGCTCAAACCTCTCAGAGCTGCCATCCTTCTCTCAGCTAGAGTGGTTCCTGTGATTCTCACTTCCTAGCTCCAGGAGCTCCTGCCCCTCTGGCTGCTGGCAGAGAACTGCCAGCCTGGTCTCAGCCCTGGGCTTTATGAGGGCCAGGCCCTGACCCCTTCTGGCCAGCTGATTCTTATCAGTTGCCCTGGCAACCTGCAGCTGTGCTCATTATCTCCGCTGGGGCTCCTTATGTCCTATCAGAGCTTCTTCTCGGGCCGCTTTCCCCTGTCTAGGAGCAGGAGCACCGAGGTGCCCTGCGACACTGCCCTTACACAACCCCAATGCCAGGGGATGCTATCCACGGCTCTGAATCTTCCCTACATCGTGGCCCATGCCCCACAGATGGCATCTAGGTTATAATTGCTCCCCAGTCTGAGACTGCGGCAAATTCAGTCCACCATTGGGCTCCATTCATGCTCGCTCACTCCACCCCCCTCTCACACAGTAATGAGGAAAAAGTGGACACCCGTGGCTTTTAGTATGTGTGTACCTATCATCTTTTTTTTTCAGTGTTGCAACCCCCCCACCCCCGGGCTTAGTTGGCTGATGTTGTGCTTATGTAACCTAGTGGCATTCCCTTCCTCACCCCCATCCCTCCTATGTTAGTCCCTTGCTCAGGTGCTTTGTATTTCCTTTATGGCTTTGTAATTTTTCTTTTCTTGATGACCCTTCACATACACTAATAAAGCTAGATCTGCTTTTGACAGACAGTAAGCTGGGCAGGCTATGTGCAAATGTGAAATCCATTGAAGGAAGAAATTCTGCTTTTTTCTGTCCTCTATGCTTGAATTCAGTTCAGAAGTTTAAACAGAAAAATTAGTGTTGAAGTAGCATATGTTTTAGTCAAAGCAGGGCTGTCCAGCAGGTGGCCCATGGACTGCATGTCGTCTGAAAAGGGCTTTATGTCCAGTCCCTTGGCTCTCACCCCACCACTGCTCCCCCATTCCTCTGGCTGCAATAGCAGTTGGTGTCTCCAGGCTCTCCCTCTCTCCTTTGACTGCTTCTTGCCTTTGCCCTGGGGATGGGGTAGAGTGTCAGCACAGGGAAATAAGATGTGTGAGCCTGCAGCAGCACTGGGTGTGTGTGGTAACTGGAGTTGTATGTGAGGGTGGGGGGTGGGGATTGTGCCCACATGATGCAGCAATGGTTGGGGGGATGCTTACTGCAGTGTGGGAGGAGAGGATTGCACTTGTTCACCCCCACAGTGCAGTGGGGGCAGGAGAGCTTCCATGCGGCACATCTGGTATAGCCTATGTCAGGTGCAGTCCCTAGAACATGTGGCCTCCAGAGGCTTAGATGTTGGACAGCATTGTGTCAAAGTATACTGTGTTCACTACTTACAGAGCGTAGTGAGAATTTATCATGTCAAGAAGTTTAATCTATGAATAAATCACGAGTGTAAACTTGTTACTAAAGAGCCTGAAGGATATATTTCTAAACCTATGTATACAATGAGAAACTGTCCCTTGAGAGATTACATTACAATGGTCTATATTCATCATAGTAAAATAAATGGATATTATAAATGTTCTTAACTTATGTTTTTCTCTCTCTCCAGGTCAGCAGAATTTTATATAGTTTCTCAACGGCATTCAAACGTTCTTCCAAACAAGCATCAGATCACGTAAAAGACTCTGTTCTTCCTACCCCAGATAGCGATGTGTATACTTTCACTGTCTCCTTAGAGGTTAAAGAAGATGATGGAAAAGGAAATTTTAAGTAAGTTGGAAAAATGGAGGAAGATGCACACACTTATGTTATAAATGTATGTAGTGTTTTTTTTCGAGGGGTGCATGATTATTTAGCATGTAGTGAATAAATGTAATATAGTTTTATTCTCTTGCTTTATACTAAGTTTTTAAGAAGTTTTCCTTGATTTTTGTAGTTCTCAAATATACTTTTAAAGAAAAGACTATTTTTTTGTTTTAAACCACTTATTTTCAAAGCAGTGTTAATCATGTTTTAGAAGTATGTTAAAGGCCTAGATTGTGGTAAGTTATTCAACTATACAACTATTTGTGCTAATAGAACTCTGTTCTTTTGTTTTTTAGTCCCGTGCCAAAGGACAGAGAGAAATTTTATTTCAAACTGAAACAGGGAGTTGAGAAGAAGGTGGTAATCACAATCCAGCAACTTTCAAATAAAGAATTGGCCATTGAAAGGTAAGCATACTAATAATGAAATAATGCTAATTAAAAATAAAAATTAATCATGGTGTCTGATATACTTGTCGTATCATGATCATCTTGAGAAAGCTATAATGAAGTTAAAGATCAGGAAGTATTCTTATAGAAGTTATCAAAATGAAACTCCACTTGTGTAGTATAATGCACCTAGCTGTGAGAGATCTCTGTAGGCCTCTGCTGTTTGCTAGGAGAGGGGTGTCAAACATATGGCCCACAGGCTGGATCTGACCTATGAAGCTGCTCCATTTGGCTTGCCAGGCTACTGGCAGGCCAAAAAATGTGGGAATATGGCTAGCAGTGGGTGCAGCCTGTCACAGAATCTATGGCCCCATTGGATATGGCCTTCAGAGGCAGTCAGGTAGGTGAGGGCTGTGCCATCACAGCTCTGCTTGCCTTGTGACCACTTGAGGCTGCCTCTGCCACCGACTCTACTGTAGCCGCTGCATGACCCTGCAGATCCAGCCTGTGAGAAGCTCCATGCTCTGGATCTGGCCTGAAGAGTGGAGTGTGTTTGATAACCCTGTGTTAAAAGAATGTTGTAGGGCAGTTGTACGATGTTATTGTTTAGTAGAGGCTTCCAGATGAGGTGTCCTTACTGATAGGGCTGTGTAAGTGGGACTCCTAGCATCTATCTCCAGGTAAATGGACATCTGGGTCCATTCTGCATTAGAGATTTTGCTGGCATACCTATGGTTGCTAGGTGTTTGACAAGATTTGTATCACCCTATCAGTTATACTGGCCAAAGCCCTTATGTGGACACATTTATACTGAGAACAGAGCACTCTCATGTGGTACTTGGGGTGCAGTGGGGTGAAGAAATGCACCTGCACTGCAAGTTCATATACATCTGCCAGAAAGTGCCACCAACATAGCTCTATCAGCATAACCATAATGTTACAGTGTCCAAAGCGTAGGCAGTCCCTAGGAGTGGAATCTATGTGGACAGTTGCTCAGGGAAAGAATGTCTAGCCTGCATTAACTGTCTGACCTGTGTCGCGTTGATGGATTCCACAGCCTGTCCTTCTCCCCTGCTGTGACTGTCATAATTTTTTGACATTTAGTTCTTCAATACAAGTGAGTTATCCCCACTCCTCCTTTATGCCTTTTGGCTGGTGGGGAGTTAGAAAAGATATGTAGTGGGCAGCATGGCAGCATGTCCCTGAATGAGCCCTGTGAGCCAAAAGAATTTGAGTTCATGTATAAAGTACATGTCCACATGGATTCCACCCTTGGTGGACAATGCATTTTGAAGAATCATGGTTATGGCGAGGTAAGTAGCTGTTGTTTCATCATAAAGAATACTAACTGGCCTGTAGTTTGTGCAATAGTGTGTATAGCTTTGTCTTTATTAATAGTATTTAAAAATATTCCACCAGGTGGCAGTCTTACAAAAGAGTTTGAGTTTACTTTCAGTCTTGCAAATAGTGTGAGGAATCCAGAAAAGTGTTATAATGTCAGTGACTAAAAGAGTCTTAAAATAACCACAAATTTCTTATCATAGAAAAAAGCAAAAACTCATTACTCTCTCTTCCTAATTTTGTTAGAAGTCATATATTTATAACATGAAAATTTAAAGATTTTTTGGGTAGCCAAAATATAATAAATACCTACTATAGCCTGTGCTTCCATAGCCTGAAATTACATTCTTGTTCTTCAGGAGCTTTTTTTTTTTTTTTTTTAATAGGCTGTTTTCAATCTGTAGGGTTTTTAGTTATAGCTTGTACATTCACAGTCATAAAAAACTTTCTTTATTTGCTGATTGTGGCAATGGAGTAGCAAACAGCCTGAAGGCACAAATGAAGATTAAACATTATTATTTGGCTTGGGAAACATTATGATATAGTCTTATTAAATGTACTTACTTGTTCAATTTTTCCTACTTGCTAACTTCCACATGACCCCTGAATAATTTAATTTATAGGTTGAGGGCACAGTGGACAGCAGACTTAAGATTGCATGGGCAATTAGAAATGCCACATTTACAAACTTTTGTGTGTGGTTGGTTGAACGTGCAATCTAAAGAACTTTTGTAGTTTTTATGTGAAATATAGACTTGAAAAAATATCAGTACAAGAGAAAAGCAAAGCTGTATTCTGTTTAAAATATTTGACTTCTAATTTTTAGTATTAAACAGGATTTCTTTTTATAAAAAGATTTAAAGTTTCAAAAAATACCCTTTGAGAGGAAGCAGACTATGGGAAAACTTTAGTTTTGAAGGTATTTAGTTGGGTCTGGAGTACAATGCGAGGGTGTTACTCAGGAGAAATAGAATTATTTGAGGCCTTTCACGTTCTTCACTGATCCTAGTTGGTAAATTCTTTGTTCTTGTATTGCAGCATCAGGGTGTGTTTTGAAAGGCGTTAATTAGTGTTCCATTTTTTATTCTCAGATGGACACTTAACTTTTTGCAGAGCTGGTGAATGGTACATGCTGATGCTTCTGTTAGAAATTCATATAACCATTTCTGTTACAGTTGGTGACTACAGTCAGCAAAGAGCAAAATCTATTTATAACAAAGATGACCATGTATATTGTTGCTAGGGGTGCACCAATAGAGATTTTCTTGGCTGATCCCAATAGCCGCTTTATTAACCAGGCAATATCGGCCAATAGCTGATTTACAGGAATGCAGCCAGGCATCTTGGAGAGCAGTATCCTGCTGGTAAGTCTGTTAGGGAGGGAAGGGGCATGGGGGGGATGGGGGCAGGTCGAGGCATCCACAGTGAGAGAGGGAGTGGGGGAAGGGCAGGTGCTGCCTGGATTTGTGTATGGGGCAGAGGTGGGCTGTGGGCTTGGGGCCAGGGGCTGTGCCAGCCTCTTCCTGATAGGGGGGCTGCACTGGGGCTGGACTTGGAATGGGCGGGAGCGGGGCAGGCTCAGCTGTGCAGAGCAGGCAGGTGGCAGCACTATGGGGGACTATGAGGGGGCTAGGGTGAGTTTTGGAGTGGCTATAGCCCCCCCAAACCACCTCCTAGTGCCGTCCCTCTTGGGCTACTCCACTCTGCTGCTTTCCCTTGGGAGCCCTGTGTTGGCTGCACGTCTCCTGCTGGCCCCTCAGTGGGGGGCTCCCAATGGAAAGGTAGCAGAGTGGAGTGCTCTGAGCAGGGCCGGCACTGGCAGGGTGTGGAGAGGGCTATAGCCACCCCAAAAATCGCCTTAGCCCCCCGCTTAGGTACTGCTCCCAGTGCTGCCACCACTGCCCATCTGCTCACTCTGTGCCACTGAGCCTGCCTTGCTGCCACCCACTTTGAATCCAGCTCAGACCCCCTGCCGGGAGGGGGCTGGCACAGCCCTGAGCCCACAGTGGGCAGCCCACTTCTATCCCGTGCACAAATCTGGGGGCCATGCTCTTCAATGCCTCCTCCAGGGGTGCACACAGCAGCAGGGGGATGTCCCGCTCCCCAGCCCCCCCACACCCGATGGATGAGCCAGCCATGGCTCTGTCCCAGCCCCAGGGACTAATTCACTGCCCTGACTGGGCACCCCCTGCTCCACTCCCCACCTCACTGTGGGGGACTCAATCTGCTCCCCCCCCCCCCCCATGTCCCTTCCCTCCCACACACCCTTTCCCCTCCACAGACTTACTGGCAGGACACTGCTCCCCATGGTACCAGGCTGCATTCCTGGCCATATGCATGCTGCCACTGTGCAGATGCATGCATCATTTATTGGTGACATTATTGGCCACACTGGCCAAAAAAAGTCAAAAGCTGATGATGTTAATTTCCTTTTATCAGTGCTGATCTGATATGTGACCAGTATATCATTGCACCTCTAATTGTTGCCTTCCTGTACTCCAGTTTGTTGGAGATCTGTTTTGGTTATGTAATTCTGGGTAATACTTTGCTGGTGGGGAGGAAGAAAGGAAAATCCTTTTAGATTAATTGATTGAGTTGTTTTTTGTCCCCAGAGTCTTGGTAATATAGTTACTAGCAATCAGGGATAATCCAGGAGCATTTGTTGCATTATTGTTTAGTTTTTACAAAAATGAAATACTTTTAGCTGTTTGTATATTTTTAAAGAAACACCAGTAATTACTCCAACTTATTCTGTACTTCAAAAACATTAGAATCGAAGGGTTCACACTTGATGTCATTCAGACACTTTCCAGTTCCCATAGTTGAAGGCTACCAAATTACCATATTTACTCAAATATAAGATGAGGTGCCCCTACGATTAGCATGGGAAAAGCTCCTTGCCTTTTATTTGTATACAAGGAAAGCTCATTAAACTGTTTCTAAAGCTGCATATGCTTAGTAATGGAAACCAGCTTTGAAGCTGATTCAGTGCAGTCAACATTGATCATGACTTGAGACACATGGCCCATATTGGGCAAACATAGTCATGGGAACCACTTGTCTAATCTGTCCAGGTCTGCTTTCAGCTGTTCCCTGCCCTCCGGCATGTCCACTTCTCCCCAAAGCTTTGTGTCATCTGCAAACTTGGACAGAGTACATTTCACTCCCTCGTCCAAGTCGGTGATGAAGACATTAAAGAGCATCGGGTCCAAGGTCATCCAAGTCACAGCCTCTTAACTTGTTCACCAGTATGGGGTGGGATACCGTATCGAAGGCCTTCCTGAAGTCTAAGTATACGACATCCACCCCTCCTCCTGTGTCCAGGCGTTTCGTAACCTGGTCATAAAAAGAGACTAGATTGGTCAGGCACGATCTGCCTGCTACGAACCCGTGCTGGTTTCCCCTCAGCATAATTTGTCCTGCCGGGCTCTCGCATATGTGAGCCTTGATAATTTTTTCAAAGACTTTGCCAAGGATGGAGGTGAGACTGACTGGCCTATAGTTGCCCGGGTCCTCCTTCCTCCCCTTCTTGAAAATGGGGACCACATTGGCCCTTTTCCAGTCCTCCAGGACCTGACCCGTGCGCTGCAAGCGTTCGAATATTCCCGCCAGTGGCTCTGCAATTATGTCGGCCAGTGCCTTCAGCACCCTCGGATGGAGCTCATCCGGGCCTGCCGACTTAAAGGCATCCAGTTCTTCCAAGTGACTCTGCACCATCTCCGGGTCTACGCATGGAAGTCTGGCGCCTTGCTGCTGCCTCTCTACAATCCCAGTGAGAGACTTGTCGTGCCCCTCACTTAGGAACACTGAGGCAAAGAACTCGTTGAGGAGTTCAGCCTTGTCCCCCCTGGGTTCTGGGACATCATAGCATTATTTTTATAAGTGTATTTTGTACCTTATTTTCCACAAGTGCTTCAAGAAACTTGTTATAAGAAATTTGTAGACTGCTGCTTATCAGGATTTCAGTACCTGAGATTCTTGTGCCTCGTTGTTCTAAATGAGAAAGCACAAGGTAGGTACTGGTGAGAGTTTGCTGTAGACTGCCAAATTAGGTTGCATTTGTGCAGGATAAACAGTTCCTTTCAACTTGTATTAGATGATTTGTCTTGAGCAGGTAGGGGTCTAGGTGGGTTTTTTTGAGAGCTCTTCATTCCAGTTGTTTTTCCCGATTCTGTATGTAGAACAAACTCTTGCTTGGAGTAGGATGATGGGAGAATTTTAGTCTGGAGGGCATAAATTGGAGATTGTTCCTGCTAGCAAAACTTCCCTGGAGTTTTTAAAACTAGGTTTTCTAACAGTTGTTAGAACTTTTGGGGTGATTTATAAGTGTGGTTGATAAGTAATTGCATTGGCATACAGTAAACTTCTGTGCATCGTTTGACTTAGTACTGCCTAACAGCCAGATTTTAAAAACTGACTCTGCAAAATCACATAGCATACATTAAATGGAATAAAAACTGGCTAACTGATGGATCTCAAAGTAATTGTAAATAGGGTATTTCTAATGCAGTTTTGCAGGAGGCTCTTGCTTGAGCAGTAGCCATTGTCTTTTGTTAATGATCTGGAAGGAATATGTTCCTAGTAAAACTTACGAATGGCACATATGGGTTTGAGTGGTATGCAATGACGGATCATTTGTGTACTGTACATCTGATTGTGTGCCACTCTGGCCCATACAAAGGTAAGATGCATTTTGATAAGATGAATACAACTTCCTGCACCTAGGAAACAAGCATGTAGGTGATGTTTGTATGGTGTAGGTCATTTTTGGAAAACAGTGACTTGGAAAAGGGCATAATGGTCATAGTGGACAATCAACTCAACACAAGCTTTTAACATGGTGCAGTGGTTAAGATTGTCCATATATGATCCTTGGATGTAGAAGTGGGATGGGATGATGACTAATGGAAACATTGCTTGAAGGTTGTATTTTGTTTTGGTTGCTATACTGTAAAAAATAACTGGTGAAGGGTATACCTCAAGTAGTAGAACTTTGAAGCGAGGAGAAATTTGATGCTTTGTAATTTGTTTTTCATATTTGGGTCACTGGTTCCAGTCCTACCCCTGCAGTGGCTGCCTTTATGCTTCAAGCCACGTGCAGTGTCACAGTTGGGCAGGCAGACATGGGGCCAAGTTCATTTCCCCCCACTCCTCCCATGCTCCTGGAGTTGGTGGGAGCAGCTGCAGGGGCATATGGCTCTGGTAGCTAGTCTTCTGAATTCTTGGAAGAGTAGCTACAACAGCAGGAGCCATTCTCAAGCTTTCAGGTTCAAAGTGAAGGTAGGGAGAGGGCAGATACCAGAAAGAGCTAGGCATGGCAGGTTTTGCTTCTGCTTTCCTCACCTGGCACCAACCTCTGTGCTTCTAGCAGCTGTTGTGACCCCCTTCTAACTCCTGCAGTGACAACGTGCTGCTAAAATTCAGAACACTTATGGAGAGGTGCCTTGAAATCCAAAAAAAGGTTGAGAACCGCTGGGTTGAAGCCTCGACCAGTATCTTTATATTTCATAAGTAAAAACTGTGTGGATTCTCCAAGTTGCAGGAGAATGTGGTTAAAGTTCATTTTGCCTTAAAACCATTAGCTTTATATGTGAATATCCTTTTTGCTTCTATAAATAGAAGTCTGCGTTAGTTTGAGTATGATCCCAGTTTATTTTAAAGTTGAGCATGCTACTCTATCTTTCTGTATGCAGGCAAGCTTGTGCGCCTACATGCAACCCCACTGTCTTCTGCTGGTCTCTGTGCTCACACAGGTTGGTTGCCTTTATGGAACAAGTTGCACGGGAAAGGCCTAAGACTGCGTTTAGTACCTCTGTGTAAAGATAAACCAGTTTACTTGAGTATCTCTGTCTCTGCGAGGAAGTATAGCTGTGTGTGTACCAGGCCTAATTAGGCTGGGTGAAGTACCATGCTACTGGAGATAAGTTGCTTTTGGTAACTAAGCTAACTTGGGTATGGTATCTCTACATGGTACTGTATTGTGGCATGTTGGTGTATTTTAGTTGTCTCCTCCCTGGTAATCCTACTTCCACATTTATTGACTTCCTTGCTTTTTGAAGACTAAAAAGTAGTTGTTTATTTTCTCTGTCATTATTGGGAGAGAGAGAAAATGAGTTTTGGATATAAATAACTGCCCTGCCTTATTTTTATAATGAAGCAGAAAAAGAAAATTGCATGCATTAAACAGGAACAAACCTATTTAATAGCCTGCTAATTGCTAATGTAAAAAACCTGGTTTTGTAACAGGTTTTAAGAGTGTAATTGCATTGTTGTTTGTTACATTTCTGCTCATAACATACCATGCTCACTGCAATATTAATTAGTTAGCTGTCAGTCATTTGAAAACTGTGAAACTGCTTTTGTCTTCAGTGCTATCATGAGAATACTAAGCGTCTAAACTGTGTTCCTTTTGAATCTCCATTTGTTATAAAGCCTAAATTTTCATAGTAAAAGCCGTTAAGCATTTTTCCCATTAAAGAAAATTGGCCAATTGTGCAGAGAGAAATTTCTGTCAAAAGACTAAAATATTTCCTGTACTTTTTATAATCAGTACTTCTCAGATACTTTTCTTATTGTGAGATTGTATCTCAAAAATGTTCTATGTAATACATTAAGTATCTCTGTTGTAAACTGATGCCGAGCTAAACTTTTCTGTTTTGTGAAGGTACATGTTCAAAGGGGAAGGGCTACATATACCTTATAGGATTTTTAAAATATTGTGTTTGTACCTTTCTTGTTCCTTTACTTTTACATAAAGGGGATGATAGTACTTCTTTTACCATTTCTATTTAGACTGCAGACAGTGTTAGGGAAGATGTAAGCAGTTAGCACAGTGGGATCCTAATTTCTATAGGGATATCTGAATGCTAATTCATGGTGTTTTGTGAATTTGTGTCCTTTACTAGAAGAATCAGAGGGCAATGAATGTTAAAGAAGATTGTAATTTCTGCCAGATGGTTGGGAAATAGATAGAAATGAAATAGTTTTAAAACGTTTAATTTCCCCTTTTAGGTGCTTGAATTTGAACTTGACTCTTCTCGTGGTTTTATGCATCTCTAAAGCAGTATGGAAAGGGGAGGGAATAACCTAATTTTTGTCCTATTCCTAATCAACTCCACAGTTAGCAAAGACTATAACTCCAAGGTATAGAACAATATGTAAGAGCCCTGAATACTATGTGTTTGTAAATGTAAAGGAATATTAGAAATAAGATTTAATACTTCTTACCTTCAGTTTTAGTAAAATGTTGAATTCTGTAGCTTCAGTCTACCTCCTTTTGTATCAGCATTGTTTCGGGGTCGTTGACTATATATGTTTTAAAGCCTATTCATAATAAAAAAAAATGGTAGGGGAAAACAATTTGATACCTAATCTGTTCTTATCTTTGTAGCTTTTCTTTGTACATGTTGTGTCTCTTGTTGCATGTGTGTGAACAGAAACCTATTGCAAATGCTGTGTTCCTGTTTAAATGGAAAACTATGTGTAATCTGTGGCATTAAGTAGACGATACTTATACTTTTCTAGAGCTTTCTAATATTTTTAATTTTGAAAAACTTTTGCAGATGCTTTGGGATGCTGCTAAGTCCAGGGCGAAATGTGAAGAATAGTGACATGCATTTACTGGATATGGTAATAATCAATTTGTCTGGCAAAATAGAAGCTATATGATGATAGCTTTTTGCTTTTTTTTTTTTTTTTTTTTTTTTAGGGCAATTTCAAGGTGCCCATATGTCTATTAAATTCTTGTTTTTGATAATTTCATTTGACACATGAAATACAGGATTTTGTTACCTTATTAGGATGTTTCCTCAGTGGAATTGTACTCATTTACATTTTGCACCTTGATATAAAACAATGAAGTGAAAGGTACTAGAAATGGTCTGTAGATTCTTTAAAATAGGAATCATAGGAAAGGCAGATTGGAAGGGACCTCACAAATTCATCTAATTCAGCCCCATGCTCAAGGCAGGATTGTTCCTTACTAAACCATTCCAAGTGTCTGTCAACCTGCTTTTGAAAATTTCCCTGGATGGAGATTTCACAACTTTTCTAGGTAGCCTGTTCCAAGGCTTGATCACCTTCATAGTCAGATAGTGCCTCCTAATCTCCAACTTGCTGTATTTGAGTCCAGGATGAGATCCTGTGCCCTCTCTCCCTCCCCACTGCCTTTTAAAATGTTGAGGGGGGGAAAAAAAACCCCTTGTCTTGGGATTTGAGTACAAGCCAGTGCTGGCAGTGGTGGGACAGGTGGCTGCTGTGGTTCTGACTATATCCATGTCTTGGGCTCAGAGTTGGAGTCAGAGCTGCAGCTGCTGCTTCCCTTGGCTCCAGCACAGGACACAGAGCACATGGTTGTTGCAGCCCTTGCCTGGACATGCAGCAGCAATGACAGTTACAGCAAGTCCAGCCCAAATCTATGGCTGGAGCTGCTGCCACTGCAGCCACTGCTGCATGGCCAGGTTGGGTTCTGAGTGACCATGCCTTCCCTGTCCAGGGCTGGAGCTGCAGGGTAAGTGGCTGGGGGGGTAATAGGGAGGGGGCTGAGGCAGTGGCAGGACAGGCAGAGTAGGCAAGTAGTCATGTGGAGGGGGAAGGCATTGTGAGGATGGGCAAGAGAAGGGGAAGATATGGGGGCAAATGCCAGGGTGTACAGGAATGAGAGGGCTAAGTGGTGGAGGGGGATATGGAGCAAGGTGCATGGGTCAGGTCACTTGACCCCATTGCCTGTCCTTTACCACTGCTTGCCATGCTGCAGTGGTTGTGGGGGATGTATTTAAAATGGTCCTCCAATAAGGTTTTAGACGCAGAAGACTAACAAATTTATAAATTTTCCATGTCTGGAATTTTAATTATGGGCCGGGGGGGGTGGGGTGGGGTCGGTCATGTTAAATTCAGAGTAGCCTTGGATTTTGGTAAATACAGTAAATTTCCTCTGCTGCAGCTCCTAGTCCTGCCCCCTGCAGCTACAGAGAAAAGCTTGTCTTCATCCTCTCTCTAGTCACCCTTCAGGTGTTTGAAGAGTGTTATTAAATCCCCCCCCCCTTAGTCTTCTCTTTCCCAAACTAAATAACTAGCCTTTTCAGCCTTTCCTCATAAGTCTTGCCTCACATGCCTCTCATCATTTTTGTCACTCTATACTGAACTCTTTCCAATCTAACATCCTTCTTGAAGTGTGGGGCCAAAATGAGGTCTCATCAGTGCCAAACAGAGTGAAAAAAATCTCTTACCTTGATTTGCAAGTGACTCTCCTGTTAATACAAACCAGAATACTATTGCCCTTTTTGCAGCAAGAGCATAATGTTGGCTCGTATTCAGCTTATGGTTTACTGTAATCCTTCCCTGCAGTACTGAAGCCTAGCCACTCGTTTCCCAGTCTGTATTTGTACGTGCAATTATTTCATGCCAAGTACAGGACTTTGCACTTGTCCTTCTTTAACTTCATCTGCTTAATTGTTGGTCATCTTTCCAGTCCAGTCTATTCAGGTCATTCTGGACCCCACCTCTATCCTCCAGGCTGTCTGCAACATCACCCAACTTGGTGCCATCCCCAAATTTGCTAAGTGTGCACTTGGTCCCATTGAGCAAATTATTAATTAATATATTTAAAAGTATTGGACCCACCCCCGGGGGAACCCCACCCCTCTCCCTAAATAGACATCGAGCCATTGCAGACTACTTGCTGAGCATGATGAGCCAACCAGTTATGTATCCATCTTACAGTACTTTCCTCAAGTCTCGTTTTCCTTAACTCGTTAATGAGAATGTCCTATGAGATGGTGTTAAAAGCCTTGCTAAAGTCAAGGTTTATCGCATCCAGTTCTCTCTCCCCATCCACAGAGCCTGCCAGCTTGGTAAGCTGACAGTTACAAGTGACTGGATTTTTGGCTTGCAAGGCACAATGGTTAAAATTTTCTAATTAAAAATTAAGTACTGTATTCATAATTGTGCACTAAATCAATGGTCATATTTTTTTCAAAGTGAAAAGAAACTGCAGTTCTAATTTTTTTTCATGCGGTTCAGAATCTTGTCCATTGCTCTTGACTTCAATCTGCCTTTTCCAACTTGTACTTTCTGTACAACCCCCATACAAGCAAACCCTCTTGCCAGTTCCAGATGTGCTTCTTAGCTATCATTTACATCCATGTATATATAAGAAACCTCTTCCTACTTTCCCTTCTCCTTGTCCACCCACTCTCAACTTGTTCTGACTCTTCTGTGCCTGTAATTTCCTTTTACATTTCAAAAATTGTTTTGAGTCAATGGTTTTGACTCAACTTGAGAAGTTCCAGTGGTTCTTTGACATGTTGCAAATAATTTACGTTCTCCCTCACCAGCAAGTCTGACACCAGTGCCATAAAAGACTATTCATAACACTGGCATGTGTCATTGGCTTGACTTTTTGCTCAGATCTTGAGGATATGTTTTTACTTCCTACAAAGATCAGAGTAATGCACCCTAATGTCATCTCTATCACCTGTTGTCTGGACTGGCTTTCAAATCCCTTATTTTAATGCATTCTTTCTGGTCTTCTATTGCATCTCTCCCCTTCCCCCTCCCTGCAATCAGCCTGACTTCTTTTTTTTTCTATTTCTTTTTTAAAAAAATCATGCTCATGACAGGGAGGGACTAAATGTCAGCTAAAACAAAACAGGGCAAGCGGACATTGGGCACACTTGCCTCTGTTGTAGTCTTGAAATCTTAGTCTTGAAATGATCAGTTCTGTTTTTTGATTAGCAAATGAAACAACAAACCATAGTAAATTGCTTGCATTTGCAACATGGGCAAATGCCTTCTGAATCTGGAATAAATCTTTATAACATACTAATATATGTAATATTAACAAGAGTTGAAATCTTGATTTCCAGAAATAACCCCCATTTTGCATTTCTTGGTTTATTTAATAAGAATAAGTAACTTGGCCTAAGTTGCTACCCTGCCCTGCCTTAGGGGCCAACTTGTTCAGGAAGGCATAGACTTTCACAGGCAACCACCTACTTTGTCAGATGTTGCCTCTATTTGAATGAGTTAAACCCCAAGGCACAACCCTGGCCTGCCTTCTGCTTGACTTCAGACTATCGCTGCTAACTACATCATTAGTAATCTTCCTTTTCCCCTTCTTCCCATGCTTAGTGGTTGGTTTACTTCTGGACAGGCAATTTTCTTGGCACCGTCCTCCATGTCTGCTTCCCCCCACCACCTCCCATCATCTTTTCAATTACTTTCTTTGTTTTTCTGTTTCCTCTTTGTTGTAGGGGCCTTCTGCCTCCAAAAAAACCCCCAAAAAACAGGGAGGGGGAAATGTGGGGTGGGGGGCAACAATGACTGCAAATAGCTCCCAAAATACTGGTATGAAAAGTCATTGACCTGTTTACCCTCAAGTTTTCCAACTAACTTGTTTGTTTTTTAGCTCTTTCTCTCTCCCTTCCTTCACACTTTTTTTTTAACTTGCTTATTTAGATTGTTTGCTTTGGGACAGGGGGCATTTGTTTCACTGTAAAGTGCCTAGCACAGCTAGGCCCCTAATTTTATTTGGTCTCTAGGGGCCACTGTAATACAAATAATATATGTGTTATTCTTAGGAGTCCATGGGAAAGAGCTCTGATGGGAAAGCTTATGTTATTACTGGAATGTGGAATCCTAATGCACCTACATTTCTAGTACTTAATGAGGAAACTCCTAAAGGTAACTTTTTAAAAACAGTACTGTTTACTTAATTACTTCATATAAATTAAATTGAGTATTTTTTATTAAAATGTTGTTGTATAGTTATGACTGACATAGGTTATAGATACTCTTGGGGACCATTCTATGCATCATGGTAACCAACAAGTTTTAATTTAGCATCAGAACTGTGTTAACTATATGAACACATATAATACGAAGAGATTAAAATTGCTCGTATTGGTGTGAGAATTGTTGCCATTCAGGACCTGATAAAACATTGTCTGGGATTATGTTCACTTGCCCTTGGGAATTTGAATTTTCAATTCCAGGCATGCTTATTGATGTCTTTACCTCTTTTACTGCTTTGATTGAATGTGGACTCAGTTGTCACCATTCTTTTGTATTTTCATTGAGACTTTTAACATAGCGCTGACTTCCAAGTTTGTAATTGTTTCTGCTGTTTTGGGTTTTTTGTTTTGTTTTGTTTTACTAGCTTTTTTACTATCATTTAAAAAAATGTTTTAAAGCATTAAAAATGTTGTTTCCTAGTATAGCATAGGTTAGATCTTGCTGAACAGCCTGACCCAGTTTTCAATTCATGATTTGGCAGCACTGTGTTTTCTTTGTCCATTTATGGTCCAATCAGGTAACTGTCTCTGGAGTTTTGTGTGTGGTGTTTGTGTGTGTTGTTATTGCCTGAGGCTCAGGATTGGACCCCTTATGATGAAGCATCTATCTGATAAGCCTTAAGCATCATGGATCCAGATTGTACATCAATGCTATGAGAGAGCTTGGGACAAATGGAGGACATTTTGAGGATCCTTTAAATTAGATATTTAACTTCTTTTCTTCAGTAGTAGAGTGCCTCATTGGATTTGTGAGCTTTGTCCAGTTCTGTTTCCTATTTATGATGTCAGATGTGACTGTTGCTGCTTTTTCCTGTATGATCCATTTTTCCTTCACCTTTAGAAATGTTAATTTGTTGGAAAATTGTTGGACCATTTTGGCACTAATGGAATAAAGCTCATTGGCTAACGTGGATATGCAAAATCTAAAATACAGATAACAAATGTGAGATGTATGCTGCAGAATGAGTAGCTGGAAGGGACTGAATTTAAACAGCAGTCTGTTTCTAATTTGTATTTGGGTACCTTGAGAAATTTTCTCCTTGAAGCTAACTTTATTTGTTGTTGTACATTAACTTTATTTTTGTGTTCCAGACAAACGTGTTTACATGACTGTGGCTGTGGACATGGTAGTCACAGAAGTAATAGAGCCAGTCCGCTTTTTGTTGGAGACTGTTGTGCGTGTTTATCCTGCTAATGAGCGTTTCTGGTACAGGAAAACATTCACAGAAACTTTCTACATGAAGATAAAACAGGTACTGTATTTTAATAAAAAATGGACTTGAAGTATCACGTCTATCTTTTCTTGTTTGGTTCCATAAATTTTACAGACTATTTTATGGTAGTGGGTCCTCAGTTGTACTGGCATAACAGTTTAAAAATGCTTGTGCATTAGCCAGGGACAAAGCATCCAATTGCAAACCTTAACCTGCCACGTGATTAAGCTTGGGCAACTCTGATCTAATGTATATCTTTTGGAGAATTTTTGCATGCAACTTATGCACTCTTACTTGCATGGAGGAGTCTAAGACCATCTAACTGGTTAAGTCCAGAAATGCATTTCTCCCTGCTTCATTATGAAAAGAAATGGTGCTTAATAGGTGAAAGCTCTGTCTCCTGTTGTTTAGAATCCCAGAAGTATATTAAAGTAAGAATAATTAACATGAGGAGTGTGATTAGGCAAAGACAGAGAACCTTGGTGAGTGTGTGGTGTTGTTTGTCTGTTGTTTATATAAAAATAAGAGGCTGCTACTACTATTCTTTCAAACTGCAGCTGTAACAGTGTGTTCCTGTGCATCAACTTGAACGTTTGCCATTATTGCTCCACTGCTACAAGGAAGCAGGTGGTGGTGTTAGGGAGGTAATGTGACCATTTATGTTAATGATTATTTGGCAATATTTTGTGTATATCGTCGTAATGTGCTTTAATATAGGTTAGGTATCCAGGTTGTAACAGTACTGGTCTAGAGGCAGAGGGAATCAGAACCCATGGTAGAGGTGATATCTTTTATTAGACCAACTAGATTTTTGCTAGGGGAAAAAAAAATTCTTTATTTGCAAGCTTTCGGGCATAAGCACCCTTCTTCAGGCATAGGAGAAAAGATTGTAAAAGTTGAACTGAAGAAGTGTGCTTGTGCCCAAAAACTTGCATATAAAGAATTTTTTTTCCACAAAAATCTAGTTGGCCTAATAAAAGATATCCCCTCTACCCTGAGTTCTGATTCCTTAATATAGGTTTAGATGTTCCTTGTTGTAAGTTGTTCCCCTCCTTTCTTCCTCCTCCTTTACCCCTCACCCCACAAATATTCCGTTTCATCTGGCTTCTACACAGGAGAGGTGAGGGTCAAGTTGTAGTACACTGAGTAGATTAATATTCCCTCTATAGGGCTTTCCCTGTTTATAAACCTATATGATTAATGTGATTTTGCTTATTTCCTCAAACATTGGAGGGGATCATGTGTTCCTTGCTCTGTAACCTTTATTGAATGTTTTTCAGTAGAGTGGGATCCAAAAGTCCCCAAATTTAGTTCTACTATCTTGCCTATTCCTCAGTGCTGGCAGCTTACCACTGTTATTTTATTCATTCTGGATTGATAGTTTTATTTTTTTGCAAGTAAGCATTGCCCTACTTTCTGTCGAGATTTGTACACTGATATGGACTCAGGATCTGAATAGTAGAGTCTGACCTTGTAATTTACACTGGAATATGTTAGAACCACAATCTTTGGCTGATTATAATGAATAAAGGTGACAATTTTCTGAGTCTAAGCAAGGGTATCATAGTTATCTTATTTTGAAATAGTGTGAAAAAGTTAGTCATGGTTTTACTATATCATAATAACATAGAATTTACTTAATGCTCATCTTGCTGATTTACATTTTATGCAAACTGTTTTCTTTCATTCTTGCAATCTTCAGTTTTACCACCAGAGATTAGTGTAATAAACTGGAATTCATGAAGAAGTACAAATTAGTAGTATCATGCACATACTCGAGATGGCTACTCTTTCTGGTTTTAAATAAAACTCACTTTACTTGCCCCTGGTTGAGAGCATAGGACTTGAAGTATATTGTACCATAGAGAGGAAGGATGGTCTTGTGGTTAAGGTAGCCTGCATTGGAAGCCAATAGAAATCGATTCATTTCCTGGTTTGACAACAGGCTTCTTCTGTTTTGCTCTATAATATGTAGATCAATATAGACTTGATCTGATGTACAGACCAAGTCTATACTCATCTACTGATGAACTAATTAGTTTAATTTAGGATATTGTGAAATTGGGCTCTACCAATATTGCTGCAAATCGAAATTGGTATGAGTTAAATGTACTTTGTTGAAAAATTATTGTGGAACGTACCTTCCTCTTAGTTAGTTAGTCTCTTGAGTTGCAGTGACTGGCAAGGAGGACCCACCCTTTTTTATGTTAATGGTTTTTCTGGGACTTGAGCAGTGTGGAACAGGATTACACTCAGGTACCTAATAGGTAGAAAATGATCTGGTTCTAAATATCTGCTTAGTGATATGTGTTTATTGGTTTGTGGTTACAGTTTCAACAGTGTTTAAGTGTATCAGTTTAAATTTATTAAACAGAAAACCACAACTTCTCAGAAATATAGGTGTAATCATCAGTCCATGCTATGATTTGAAATATTCACCTCTTAAATCCATAGGAACATAGGAAAATTTACATTCTTGTTATAGTACAGTCAGACTGTGATAATGTTACATTATGGGACTGAATGAAGCCTGTGATATCAAGTGAAGCTGACAATAACTGGAGTTGAATACCAGGTGGAACTTACTTGTGTCCTAATTCCTTCTAGAAAGACAACTGTATGGATACACATTTGCGGGCATCAGAATTTATACCCTACTCCTTTTGTGCATTTTGTGAACTTATGTAATGTCTAAGTATGACATTTATTTAATATCTAAGACGAGGAATGAAGTAACAAGCATAACATTTATTCTATGTTAAAAATTATGTACTAATTGAAGGGAGTGGAGAAGCTGTATCACTGAACTAAAAAGCCCCTCATCTGCCCCTTTTTCTTCAGCAACCCCAGCTGTGCTTCACTGACTCAGAGCCTTTGTTTAAAACTTGCAACCTCCCCCCTCCCCCAAATATTGTAAGCACAGCCAAAAAGTCATAATATGTGGCATAACATCCTGCACGCGCTACAGCTTAACTACCAGATAATTTTCATGCATGGCATGAAAGCCAAGACAAGCCACACTTAGACTCTAGCAATAACTTAAATATCAGGCACTGAGCAGGGGCCTAGTTAGCTTATTTTACATATACAAATATTTTTGCTGTTGCCTAACTTCATATATTTCTTCAATGAGGCAAATTACTTTGTCAGTAATTGTCTGCTAACTCATTTGATCTTGGAACATCATTTGATAATTGAGTCTTTAAATCAGTTAATCTCATCTCTTTTAGACTGAAGGCACCCCTTATTAGATTTGAGGTACCCCTAAGAAAGTGCCAGCTCTTGAGTTTTCACTCATTTTTTAACTACAGAAACATTATACAGTAATTCTTCCATTGCAGAGAACTTAAAAAGACTACACTAGACTTCCTGTTAATCTCTTGATTGATCTTGGAAATTATGTTTGCATGCCTAACAGTGCTGCAACACCTTGGTTTAAAACCATTGCATGAAATGGTCAATTTACCTAGTGGAGATAATTTGCTGACATTAAGCAGTTTTGTGACAAGTTCAGAGTGGAAGTAAATAGGCTTTTTTGTGTTACTGTTTGTGGAAATCAGTCATTGATGGTGCACACTTTGATAACAGGCTGTGTGTGATATAAAGAGGAGTGATAATATTTGGGTCTGACTATTTACTAATTTTTTTCAGCAGCACTTATCATGATGGTGTTTAGATGTATTTAAATATTTATCTAGTTTTGACATTACTGTGATTATGATTTACATACATGTCTGTTTTGGGTTATCTGAATGCCAGTTTTGTCCTTCAAAATGAAGTAGTTTCAATTTGTGTTGCAAAAAATGCACTTTTTCATGGTTTTGCAGAAAACAAATTGTCAGGGAGACCCAATTAGTATCTGTCAATTTCCATGCCATTTGTTCCCTGCAGCTCAACACAGTGGTTTGTTTTATGCCAATTAACTGTATTTTTACCTGATTGTATAATGTAGCAACTTCCCTGTTTAAATAATGCCAGTAGCCAAAACAAAGGACTTTTTTTCCATGTGTGCTTTACTAGATCATTGTGTCAGTCTGCTAGATGCGTATTATATCACATTAAATCGTGGCTAGTTAACTTGAGGCTGGCGTTTTATAAAGCATTCTTCATGTAGCTGCACATCAAGAACCCTTGGAAACTTCAACTTGGACAGAACACCTCTGTCTGCTTGCTAAATGATACATCTTGCAAGGAAATGTAGAGTTGTAGTCTGGAGACTGCATTGACTTCAGATTGATTTTCAACTGAAATTAAAGCACTTAAACAGTTTGATATATCAATATTAAGGTTTGGACATTTTATCTGAGAGGCAGTGTATGGTTTTATCCCGAGAGTTGATATAAACTGGGCTACTTGACCCCCCCAGTTCTTAGATAGGAAGTAGGGCAGGGGTGGGCAAAATATAGCCCATGGACTGGATCTGGCCTGCCAGGCCATTCTATCCGGCCTGTGGGGCCCTAAAAAAATTAAAAGACTAATTATTATCTTCCCATGGCTGCCTGTCAAAAATGACAAGACACCAGTGGCAGCAGGATCAGGAAGAGCCAGTGGCCAGACCCAGCAGCAGCAAGAGCAAGGCTCACCTGGCCTCACCCCAACCCCAGCCTCCACAGCCTCCAGCCAGAAGCTTCTGCCTAGCAGAGGCTTCTGGCATGGAGACCCTGGAGCTGTTCCCCCACCTTCCTCTGTCTGGGAGTGGAGAATCAGATAAGAACGAATGGGGGCAGAGGATTGCTGGTGCAGCAGGAGCCAGCCCAGCCCAGCTGGCACCATGTGGTTTCCAGCTGGCTTCTGGTGAGCCGTGCAGTTCCGGTCCTGAGGCTGGGAACTGCATGCTGCTGGCAGGGGGGGCAGTCAGCCTGGGGAGGGGAAGGAAGGGAAAACAGCAGGGGAAAGGCAACAGTGCCAGGTGTGGGGAGAAAAGTGGAAGCAGGTGCAAGCGCAAGGCCCTGGGGGTCAGGGCTGGCAGCAGCAGGAGCCAGCTGGGAACTGCTGGGGCTGGGCTGGCTCCTGCTGTGTTCTGTGGTCCCAGTGTTGCA